AGTACGTAGTGTTTGTAATTTGAAAAAATTTCATGTATTGTTGGACTGTAAGGGTAAACTATGATTCGCTAGTATGACTCTAAACGTTGTTTCTTATGTCAGTAAAACAAATGTGACTAGTAATAAGAGATGATTGTCGTATAATCATCTAAATGAAGGTATATTCTAGTGATGGAAGGGTGGCAAAGTCAATCTTAGATTACACATCTTAACAATTTTTCTACCGATCTTCATTTGATAAGACCCCCCAGTGGCACAGCGGTATGTCTGCGGACTTACAACGCTAGAATCCGGGTTTCGATACCCGTGGTGGGCAGAGCACAGATAGCCCATCGTATAGCTTTGTGCTTAACTACAAACAAACAAACAAACCATCTGATAAGTGCAGGTTTCGAAATTGATATTTTTCGGACCTGGATGAGTGGGATTTGAAAGATAAGTGGTCGAATGAAATTGCTGTTATTCCAGATTCTTCAGAAATTTTTCACATGAAAACAGTTGATGATTTCGAAGAGTGTTTAAAAATTTGTGAACTTTGAGCTCGTGAGCCTTCGTCAGGTTCAAATCTTTGTTTATCATCTTGACAATTGTTACTAACAGATATGTCTAGTTTTAACACAATGGTTTTTTGAATTGGAGGATTCTCTTTCATAACATAGTATTCAGTTTGTGGATGAAGATGTTGCTACGTATTTACTTGGGGTGTGGCTTTGGAGTCCGTTGCCATCCTACATCATTTAATAACCTTGCCATACGAATATCCTTCATCATATAGGGCGGTGATATCTTCTTCACTCACAAGTCTATTTATGGTGGTATTGCATTATCGAATAAGTGGGAATTTGACATGAACCGCAAATACATATATATATATATTCTCTTCTGAGGCAACGAATTGTACCTGTGGTGATCCGTCTCTTATTTGTCTCTTTTATTTCTAAGCACAAAGCTACACCATGGGCTTTCAAAATTTATAGTGCACACTGGAGAGATTTAAACATTCTGATAAAACGTTTAGAAAAAATTACCTTTATACTCCACATATATATATATAATTTTTCTTTTATATTTTAACCAACGTTTCGCCTTTGCGGCTTAATCAGAATTGTATATATTAACCCTGATGAAGCCGCAAATGGGGG